CCCATCCCTTTTTGGGTTTTTCCCTTAATTTTTTTTTTTTTTTTTTTTTTTTTTTTTTTAATTGAAAACTCACCGTAAAGCATTGGGTTTTTTACAGGGGACTATTTAAAGGGTAAGCTTAGATTTAGCATATTAAATAATTTCTATATTGATCACAGTATTAAACCCAAGTTTTTTGGGATGAGGTGCGCCTGACTGTGAGCAGATATGTGTAAGCTGGGGGGAGGATACAAGAAGCTTTTACTTTTCTTCTTCCATCATGCCTCAGATCAACAGCTAGGAAAATACAAAACTGCTGATTGCTCCACAACATTGAGCTCATTGCTGAAGAGCCTGAGAAGCCTTGTGTTGGCAGCTGTTATAGACTTAGAAAATGGACTGGAAAAGCTGTAAACGTAACTCCTCTGTTTTACCAGGAGAGACAGGTTGTGTACATCTTTTGAAACTGGGGTATTAGGGGCTAATTGTGCTTTTCTCAACCATGATGTGTCTGGCTTCCCATCTTTTTGAAGGTGTCTTGGGCAACTGGGAACCTTTCCAGGCCATCTTGGCATCTTGGTCAATAGCTGCCAACACTGGGCCTCCTCCCTTGAAAAGCTGAGGGCAGTCTGCGTTTCCTCTCAGAAACTGCAGCGTGAAAGTGTGGGAGCTCAGGACCTCTGTAAAGCAGGCTCTGAAGGGAGGAAGGGCATTTTAAGATCAGGTTTTGTATCCGATGAACTCCTGCTTGTCCACCGGGTTGTGATATCCTTAATGGAAGCATTCCCTCCCCTCAGTTCAGATCCTTAAGAAAAAAAGGGAAGTGGGAAAAAAAAACCAACCTTGAAGTCTTGTAGTATGTTGGGTGCTGCTTTTTAACTTTGAAACTCTGAACTGCTGACATGGCAAAGATCAGAAACGGAGACAGAAATTTCCACTGTTCGCTGATCGTTTGAAATTTTCTCTGAATAGAGCTTCAGGCTTTGACTCTGTGCCAGAGAAAACAACCATTCATTCAAGAGTCAGATAAATTGTTTTAAATGTTTCGGTAAATGTCTGTGTTTACCAAAATTTAATTGAAAGCCAGGATAGAAAACAAGCCCTTTATTCATGAGTCAGATATGGCAGAGGCAGCTGCTGCAATGTGAGACTTTCCACCCGGATCAGCCAGCTCCTTGCCCCGACCTGGCACTTTCTCTGCTGGAGTGAGTTACTGTCAGGGACCTACAGAGATCGCTGCCAGCCTTCCCCAAAATAAATAGCGGCAATGCATTAGTGTGGAATATGGCAGAGAGGTAATGGTCTGAAACGGTGGCGAGCACCTCAGGTCAAGTCTCAAGCACACTTGTGTGAGTGTCGCCCTACCTTGTAAGATGAGATTAATTTACAAAAGTTAGCTTAAATCCATCATAGTGAATGTGTTTCAGGTTGAACTAGAGTTCTTAGAGTAAATACGCTTCAGTAAAGCAAGTAACCCCTTATCAGTGCAGCTGTGAGTGCTGCTGGTACCAAGCAAAAGAAAAATATGCACCAGATGATTTAGTTTAAGGCCTGAGAATGCAGAAGGTAGGAAGCACTCCTGATAAAAAGCGGGACTACCATAAATATTTGAAAGCTTAAAATTAAAAATTGTCCTTTCCAGAAGGTTTGTTAGTAATTACCTAGTAGTTACTACAACAGCAGCGTGAGGCATCAAATATAAAAGGTATACATGGGTTTTTCGTCTTTCCTTAATACTTCCTAAAACTTTGATCTAAGACCGCTAAGGCTGAATGAGCGTGTGAAGCGGCATGGGCTGTGTATTGTTGGCTGAATTGCAGGAAATCTGGTTATATGTGGTTCTGATCTCTAGGCTCATGAGTAGCGTGGCTCCTAACTTAGTCAAGTGCAAGATCTTCACATCTTCGAGCTAATTTGCCAGAAGAGAGAGGTTTTGTATAAAAAAGGTTGTTCAGTAAATTAAGAACTTGTCATCTACCTATAAGACGTTTCAGATTTTCATTATAATTAGTGATTAAGTTTGCAATGCAGCTCTGTCAGGCTCAGCATAGTCTTTCAACTTCATCTCTGAAAATAAATGTGCTTTTCTCAGCTAAAAATAAAAATATTCTAACAATATTCAGGCTCAGTTATGCTAAAGCGTATTCATGCAAGTAATCCCATAAAGGAGCATCTGTCTTTTTGTCTTTTAAATTAAACGTTAAAATATTTGTAAGAAGTGTGTTAGGATTACTGCAAAGGAGGGAAGTAAAATTCAAAGGACGTCAGGGAACTTTCAAGTTTCTTAAAATAATAGGGACCTCTCCTGTGGCAAAGATTGGCTTTTCTTGCTGAATATTTAAACTGATGTTGTTTAGGTTATTTCAGAAAGTTTAAACAAAATTATAGAAAAAGCTGAACGGTTAAACTCCATAGAACAATTTTTTCCCTGAGTTTTGAGAATTTCCTTTTATGGCT